ACTCCCGCCCCCCCTCTCTCTCTCCACACTCTGTACAACCGATGACGTCCTAACGGCCGACGGTATAACGTGCAAGAAAAATCTGCTGTCGTCACAAAGCAAACCTGATGTTTAGAAGTTTTCGCGGAGTTCCCAGCCTACAACCACAGTTACTCAACATTTTCCCTTACAACTCGTAATTTTTACGGGAGAGTTGCAGAGAATAAAAATTTCTACTCACTTGAGTAAACACGTAGAAAGATTGATCGGGGTATAGAATTTACTTGTATATATAAAGCGGGCACCAGAGCTCAAAGAATTCAACTTCTCTCGTAGTGAAAGCTTCAACAAGACATAATTTCTGTCTCGGATCTTTGAGTCTGCTCAATTTACTTCAGGAATTTTTTTAACCGCTTTTCTAACAAGGTGAGAAACTTAAGACGAGATCATTACTTTTTCGTTGAAATCGTCATCAACCGTGCTAACGAGTGGGCAAAGTAATTAATAATATTATGTTATTTCAGTAGCAGACCAACGATTAATTTGCGGCACATTTCTAACCATCATGTGCAAATCAGGAAAAACGAATTTGCATGTTTCATAGTATATACCTAGTAGTACATATTTCAGAGTGTGTATATTGTTGCCTCTATGTGAATAAATATTCTTTTGTCGAAATTCAGATTCTAAATTTATGGAAAGCAAGAAAAAATACTTAATGCAGATAGGGACGATTGTTAAAAGAATGAAACAATGTTTTCTTTTCTCTGATGAAAAATGCTTTCTGAGTTTAGTACATTTTAACAGTTTATTTACTTAAAAAAAATAAATTAACAATTGCCTGCTGAATGTTATGAGTACCTACTCAACAATATTCCATAGAGCGCATAGCTATTTATAATTGGTCGCTTTTAATGACAAGTGGTCTAACGCAGATTTCGGAGGTTTCCAGAAAGCTTGACCTACACCAAAAGTGGGCATTGCTCTACCTATAGGAGAAGTTTGGTTTCATATGTGTGTATGTTTGTTTGTTTATAGAGAAAACTCTCCTTGTCTTTTAAAGAAACTGAATAAGGGAAAAAACTTTACCTTCGATTTTCTCAAAACAGCATTTTTGGGATAACCCCCTTGTGCTTAAAAGTGACCAAACGATCTGAGATTAGGGCGTGAAAAACTTCGACTAATTTAGCTGGATTAATCTGGATCTCATAATATTGTCACCCCCTTCCTGGTGTTATTGGAGCTTCCAAAATTCGAGCTTCCCAGATAGAGCGTGAATATTAAAGCTTCTTTTTGTGTTGTTTTTTTTTACGTCGTAAAGACTTGAATAGTATAATCTATTTATAGCCATCGGCAGTACGTCGCAGAACAAGAACCTTTTCCATAAACAACAAAGAAAGAAAGAAGAGGAAAAAAGAGAGTGAATGGTTATTTGATTCTTTTCACTTTTCAAACTTGGAGAAAATAAAAAGCTTAATAATTCTGTTTATACTTTATCGGCGGAGGATGGCAAGACCATAAACTTCTCCTTAAAGAAAGAAAGAAAGAAAGAAAGAAAGAAAGAAAAAATAAAACGATAACGAATAGGCACTTCTTTTAACTTTTGACATTTAGAGGAAAAGGAAAAACACCAAACATGGTTTATTTATAGTATCGGCGGTGGATGGCAGGACCATAACCTCGTCACTTAACAAAAAAAAAAAAAGACAACCCAAGGCCTAGATTTAGATCATGCTTTGGAGCTCGTCAACAGCAGAGAATTTGTTTGGTTAGAGAAAGTTAGAGAAAGTTCAAAACATCTGTCTACTGAGGTCTACTTTGTAGGGAAGGGTGCAATATATTTGAAAGATAATATTGTTAAGAACATGTTCTCACAGAGAGAGAGAGAGAGAGAGAGAGAGAGA